GATGACATATAGCAATATTTCATTAGTAAAAGAGATTGATATGGTGTTTTTAAATGGCAATATATCAGCATATGAAGATATTGGGATATTTTAATGTATCAATATTTTTCCCTCGTCTTAAGAAGTTTGTAAAAAAGAAGTTAGATCAAAAACTTAGAAGCTGATCAAATTTTGGGTTAAATATTGGTGGGGTGGCCGATGTCCGATATTCAGTTTTAAGGCCGATACAGGCCGATGCCGATAGGGGGCCGATTATATCGTGCATCCCTACATGAGACTAATTTTTTTCCATACAGGAGGCATCCAGAAGCTGTCATTGCCAACAAAGGCTTTTGTACAAAGTATTAAATCAATTACAGTGAGTGTGTTAATTTTTCTTTTTTTTAATAATTTAATTTCTGTACATTTAAAGTTGGATTTTTTTTAATGAGTGGAATGCATGGATTGTTAATCACATCTTCATACATCATAACCACCTGTGTAGCTGGTTTACAGTTGCCTTTTGTATCTCTGCTTCTTTTTCTATGTTGCTTCTGTCTTGAACCCCAATCGGCCTCGGCAGATGGCCGCTCACACAGAGTCTGGTTCTGTTGGAGGTTTCTTCCTGTTTAAAGGGAGTTTTTCCTCTCTACTGTTGCTACAAGCATGCTTGGTGTGAGGGATTGCCTTCGAGGCAATGAGTCGATGCAATCAACTGGTTTTTCTTAGAGAACTTTCACTTAGTTTGACTGTATGATCTGGTTGAATAGTAACGTGCCTTGAGATGACATGCATTGTGAATTGGCTCTATATAAATAAACTGAATTGAATTGAATCTGGTGAAAATATATCACTAGCACCTCATCAAATATATTTACTGAGAAACATGGTGGCATTTTCACTGCTTACTTTACCCGCATTATATACTCAACATATAGCTGGGTTTGCAATCCAGAAATTTTTCAAAATCTAAGGATTTTCTTTTCTGAAAAATATATTCCAGCATTGTGAGAAACCAACCAAAAATATAACTATGCTGCTTAGTATCCCAGTATTTAATAAATGTTCTAAAGGCAACATTTCTTCTGCATTGTGTTATAGGTTATAAGTACCTTCCTTGAAGTGCAAATCTTTAAAAGTAAAAAGTTGAAAAATGAATACAGAACAGCTACAGCAGTACTATAATGATGCATATATGCTTATAAATAATTTTGCTTTGGGTTTTATTTGGGTTGCACTAACAATAAAACTGTTGAAAAGGTTGTAAGTCAGTTAACAGATGCCAACTGTTTACAGAGTGCCTCAACAGATGTTGCTCGCAGTTGAAAGTGTCAAAGGTAGTTGACGTGCTTCTCTGCAAAAGCCATCATTCACAGAGACTTATGTAAACCAAGGAAAGAAAAAAAAAAACAGAAGCAAAAAACCAGCTTTCCTTTGTCTGTTTACATTTGTGCAGAAATAAAAAGAAAGCAAAATTGCATACATATATTTAATTGCTAGTTATGGTAGAAACTATATTTCTTTTTCGGTGGACTACAGAACACCAATACATATGAGTCATTACAGGTGTCTTGCTGCTTAGTTGAAAATAACCCATTTAAAGGAGCATTATCAGACTAAAAATCAATGTGGGGTTCAAACATTAAGGTCATTTAGTCTTTAAAAGGTCAGCCATAAAGGTGGTCTACTTTCAGGACAAAGGCAGCAAATGTATGAATGCAGTTCTAAAACAATGGAAAGTAATTTTGAATTTTATTTTTAACTTTATTCTAGGGAATAAAAAAGCTTTTCAATTACTAGAGTAGTATATGAATATAAAATATTAGTTTTACTGCAAAAAATAACGATGGCATATTGTGAACGGTAGCCCTTACTTTTAGACATGGAGATAGTGGGTGGAGGGCATGACCTGTTGTGGAAGGTAGAAAAATTAAGATTGAAGAAAAAGGAAAGATTAACAAAAACAGTTTCTTAAAATTAATGATTAACAAAGAACTGCTAAAAACCAAGATGGAACAAAACTTTTAGCCTACATTTTTGTACTTTCTTTTCCACATATAAAGCTGAAAGCAAGAGAATGCGTGTGTGAGTTGGTACAGTTACAGCTCCCAGCTTTGAAACTTCAAATCTCATTAAAAAAAAACACACAAAAATAAATAAATCCTGTTGACAACTTGACGAGAGATCCCGATTTCAGTGCAGATTCCAATAACTTGTCACCAGCTTCATATGGTTCCCATCAAACTACAAAACACCTTACATGTCAAACATTAAATTAAATTTAATTCAAAGCAGGGGATCAAGTCAAACATTTGCTGTTCTTCCAGGACGCCCTGCAGAACCAGTAAGATAGAAGAGCGCACACACACAAACACACATGCCATTGCCTTGTCAGCTAACCCCCTCTAGTGCCGAGCATCATGCACAGATGCGCGCTGTCCCCCAGCATCATTGCCTCCACTGTTGCTGCTGTTCCACTGCATCCCAATCATTCCTCTGTCTACCTTCCACCACCATCTCTCTGCAGCAGCGGACCGAGCTGCAGCTGCAGGCGGAGCTGGCAGTCAGCGGCGCGCTGCCGTGCCAAACACACCCGCTCTCCAGTCTGTCACCACTCTGCGCGCTTTAAACTACGTTTTGGTTCCAATCTGGAAACACTAAAGACTGCGGTGAAGTCTGTATAAAATCGGTAAAGTTTAGACTAGACAATTGTTTTCTTTTTTACACATCCTCGGAAGAACAGAGTTTACTTTAAAATTGAACGGGACTTCATCCAAAAGCTGTCCAGTCTGCGCCGGAGCCGCGCCAGGTGAAAAGGATGAGCAATCTCCCGTTCCGCCGCGCGGCAATCCGGTCCACAAAGGATCAATTATAAGGAGAAGAGCCGCTGGATTTTAAGGGACACAGATCCCTTCATCACTGTTCTGATAACGACAAGTCAAGCCGCTTGTAAATGCTGCCGTAGACATGAGTTTTGGAAACAGATTCTTCCTTTCACTCTTTCTTGGAATTACGATCAGTCGTTTCAGCAGATGCAATCAAGGTAAGACATGCACTGCAAACCACTCGGGGCCACCTAGGTTACTCCAGGTCCCAATGTACTGTTGGACACAGGTCTCAATTGAGCCACAGTCTTACATATAATATTGGACGTGCTGGAAATTTTTTTAAATTAATGCTGCACTAGAAACTAACCTCATGATGCAATTTTTTGGCAGTTAAAGAAAGTCCTGCTTCATTAATTGCTATACATCCACAATTGTAGCTAAAGTGAATTGTCAGTTTTAAAACCATGCAAAGTGTGCAAACAATGCAGTGCACATGCTGCCTTCTCATTTTGAATTTAAAATGTTCACTTTTAATAGTCACAGAAATTCAAATGTGGTAGAGTTATGAATTAGAATAAAGAGATGATCATAACCCAAAATAACCGAATCCCTTTAATTGTTACTTGATCTTTTAAAGGAATTGGAGAAAAAAAACAACACTTTTTTACATTTAAAAATCATTTCACAGACACACACACAAGGTGGGCAAAAGATCAAATAATTAAATGACTGACCTGTGTTATTATCTGAGTGTGTGATTGCAAATGTTGTGTCATGTTTTGGAAATAAGCATATCTTTTCATCAATTTCTTAACAGAGAGTTCATTTAAATGCATATGGAAACATAAGTCATACACAAATAGAGCGGATGCATTACATGCTTATTTTTTTCTTAAAGTATCAAAAGTGTGGCTACATGCTTGTCTTTGTATGTGTTTTTGCATATGTACAGAAATTACAGCCCCACCAACACACACATACTTATATATACACACACACACAGCCTGCTGCATCAGAAAGGTTTAAAATAGTCCTATTGATTGTGTGGAGAGAGCACTGTGGGATCTGCCCTCCAGGTTATATTTTATTGTTCTCTGTGTTCAATAAGAGCGATGCTACTCCCTTTTCTCCCAGACAGCTGCTACATAACAGCCTCACTGTGTGTTTTTCTGCGCCGCAGATTGAATGATTGAACTCATGTCTGCTTTCAGCTGTAGTTTAGTCCTTCATATTGACTGGTACGGGACCTCAAGTGGCACAGTTGTAGTCGCTGTCCACCACAGAAAGTGGTGCCGCTCAGAGGGAAAATGAAAACCTGAAAGTTAGAAGAGTTTTAAAAAGGCAGGCAAGAATTTGAATCAATTTTAGTATTATTTCTTAAAAATATAAGCAGCTTTGGAGAATTTAAAAAAACTTGTTCATTTGGGTTTCACTCACTTCCAAAGTATGTTTTGCTAGGGAAAAGAGACCAACTGTCATTTGTTAGTGAGAAAACTGTTGCAGGATGCATTGAAATGTAAAAAGTTTCCTTTGTATGATAACATATACCGTTTTTTTTTTTTTTTAATCCTCTATACAGTTCATCTTCTAAATTTGCAGGAATTTAAAATGTCCTAAATTATATGCAAAAAACACAATAATATAAAATGTTATTTATAATGCACCTTACATTTCAGGTAAAATTCAAGGTGCTGCATTAACACGGTGCTTAAAAACGGTTCTCAGAGTACAACAGAATCGACGAATAGCAATATATCTGTGAAACATAAGTTTATGGTTTATTCTTAGGCTCGTTCTTGACAACTTTGACGACAAATTTAATGTTTTAAGGTCATCTTAAATTCCCCTGCCGCTTCTTAGTTTACTTTCCCTTTGTTCTCCTCTGATTTTAGGCTTGTGTTTGTTTCAAACACCATTAGCGTTCCATGTCCTTGAATAAAAATCCTGCTGTTTTACATGGCCAACGTAGTTATTAAAAAAACTCACATAAAAAAGATAGTACCTCTGCAACCCTCCTGTTTTGAATTACCTTAATTTAAAACAGAAAACTATACTCACTGACTTTCCAATATTTCTGCTGTTGCCCGTAGTAATTTGACAAAAAAGAATAACTTATGCAACATTGTTGTAATTGTTCTGTTTTTCACACTATATATGTTTGTTTTACAAGACAGAAATTATTTATGAACCAGTTTCTCTTGTAAATGAAGGAAACATTTATAAGCCTTTTTTAAGCAAGCTGACCAGTCATGTGCAGGAATATTTTATTTATGTATTTGGGAGCAATGTTGTGTTAGTCTTTTGCGGCTTCATAATGGAGGAAAAGCTTTTTTGCTTACTTCTAAAAAAACCTGAAAAGCACGGTTTACCTGCTTGGCTACAGTAACACAGAACAGACTGTTTGGTCTGCAGGCCGGGGATGGAGCCCAACTTCATCACACACCAGCATAGATCTATGGTTTTTGATCCTTCCTTTCTAACAAAGACAAGCTGAGCTACAGAGATTGGGGATTTTACTGGCAAAATGGTTGCAATGTTGGATTCTGGAAGAACAATAAAAACCAATCAGTTTTTACTTCTTGCTTGTGTGCCTCCTGACTGAACAACATATCTGTCACCTGCGCCCAACAGGGACTGCAGACAGTTATTAACAAAGCTCTACTCACTCAAGGCTGAACAAGCCTGTGCTCCCCACTAACACATCTTCTGCTCTTGACATCAGTGTTTACCATTTTGCCAGCCTTGTTAAGTCAGCGTGATGATGATTTATGTAAGCTTTCATTAGTTTTTCAGAATTATTAGATGTTGTTTTTCATAATGACTGTAGCTCAAGCAATTAATAATGCTTTTTTCCAAACTTTTTGTTTAATTATCTTAACAGTGTAGTAATCTAAATAAAAGAAACAGTTGGTGACTGAAGGAGTAAATACATAAAACAAAAGAAATGCTATTAGCAGTTACATATTTGCTGTGAAAGCAGCACAAAAAGAAATATTCCACATTGAATTGATTAATGTAGATGTCTGATTAAAGCTTTGCTCTTACAAAGCCGAGTATCGCTGACTGCAGCTATAACCATCATTGGACAAAGGAGATATTCACAATTAGCGTGCAGTCAAAGAAAATCAATCAACCAACAAATCCAGATCAGCATCGAAGTGCTAACGCTGTACCTTTCCCTTTGTGGGTGCAGATTTATAATGTATATTTGTATGATCTGTATCAGGATATATGTTTCCGTTTGACAAGTGAAGGTTAGGATATTTTAGATTGCACTATTTTCCCAATTTATCTTAACTCGGTAAAGAAAATCCAGGTAACCTAAAAGCAAAATCCGATCTCTGTACTCCCTGTCAAACCATGTAGTTTAATAAACCTCGGTAGAATAATGCTGAGTCTCACAGAACACTAAATGTACTGTGAAGGGTTGTTTATTTTCTTGCAAAAGTTTGCTTTTGTTGCTGGTGTTTTATTTTTATTGATTTAAGCTTGGAAGAACATGGTGATGCTGTGGTCAGCTCTGCTAAAGTAGCCATTTATTATGTTTCTGGTCAGCTGGGGGGCTGCCTTTGTAAATTTTATATGCTTGTGCTGTTTTATTTTCTGTTTCCAACACTCCTTTTTTTTTCAAAATACAGAATATGAATTATCTTTTTTTTCTTAGAATGAAGTTTTGTAAGTGAAATGGCTCATAAACCATCTTAATTCTGTAATTTTGAAAGAAATGAACCCTTGACACCTCCTTCATTTGAAGGATGGAGGTGACAACTCACCTCCACAATTCTCCATATCTTTCAATGCAACATAAGGATGTTTTTGTATAGTTTATCATAATGTTTAATCTTTAGCTACATATAAAATGTCATGTTTTTTATTAGAATTTCTACATTTCTTTAAACTCAAGAAATTGTCAACAAATCAAAATATTATGTTTGAAAAAAAACTGATGAATATTTCTGCATTTCTTGCCTTTCAGGTAAATTAGATAAACTAAATTTTATATGCTCCTTGTGAGCCTTCAAGGTTGTCTGGCTTTTTGTGTTAGGCTTTAAACTCACTGCAGATAAATATCTATATTTTTTTTCAATGCATGCTTTATTTTTCTATGTATTAGTCAGTAGTCCTGGGGGTTTGACATTTAATATACAATATTTTTCTTTTACATTTCAGATTCAAATATGATTAAAAACTTCAACATATAATTTAATGCTTTTAAAAGTTTTATATTTTGCCTCGTGATTTACTATATAAAATGGATGCACAGTGGGGTCGATGGGCGACTGTTGCCTTGAGAGAAGAATGTCCTGATTCAAGTCGCATACTGGCAGGGTTTACTTTTTCTGTTAGCATGCATGACATCATACATACTTTCTCCCAAAATCCAAAAGCATAATTGGTCATTTAACTGAGCCGTTAGTGTGAGCGCATGTGTGAGCATGTGTTTCGCCTTCAGCCGATCACTGCTGTCTGAAGGCATCAGGGGAGTTAAAAAAAAAAAATAAAAAAAAATATATATATATATATATATATTATTTTAACACCTTTTTAATACCTGTTTTTGTTGTTGATGGTTTTTTTCTTTTCAAGTCTCATTCTACCAAGACTCATTTTTCTTTCCCCACAGAAGAAGGTAACTACAGTAAAATGGTGTTCCGGCATGTTCTGCTGTGGGGATGGTGTGTTCATGGTGAAGTAAAAAGCATTTTGCTTGTAGGTAAAAGTTGCTTTAGTCTGATCTTAGTTGAATTTCTTTTTCTTATTTGCTGTGCCTAAAATTCTTTTTGTCAAATTGCTAACAGATTTTTTTTCATGGTTTTTTGCTTATAGTAGTTCACGTGTCGCTACTCTTTCAGAAAGGCCTGGTTTAGGGAATGGATGAATGGTTATCCTGCTGACAGATTCTCCCACTTAGGCTTTTTATTTATTTTTATATAGCATATTTAGGTTTTCAGTTGTACCTACATTTTTTACATAATATTTGGACCTGGGAATGTTGTTTTTAACATCCTTTCTCCCTGATCTTTCTACTATATTCCTGGGTCTCCGTGATGCTTTTTCATCCCACTAATATTCTCACTTAGTTTATTATCCTCGGAACTAAAGTACAAGTTTGGGGGGTTAAAAGGTAAAAACATTCCCTTGTATTACCACTGCTGCCACTATAACAACCATAACTATGACAAAAACAGTTTCTAATTTTCACAGTCCTTTTCAC